CTTAAAGATGCGCTGCACGCGCAAGCTGGCCTCGGCATCCTTGGGATGGAGGGAGGCGCCCACGCGGGCGCCAGCATCAGCGTGGCGGTTCCCCCACCTCGCGGCAGCACCCAGCTCCTGCTCGTCGTCGTGAAGGCGGCGGGCATGGCCTTTCACCTTCCGCACTCCCCCCCCCCCCCAGGGTCGTCCACGCGATCCCATATCTAACACCACACGTCAGCGCCCTCGCACATGGCGCCCGTGGTCGCGAAACGGCCACGCTGGAACCTCGAGACCACCCAACCGCAGTTCGAATGGTAGCGAATGGGGCCCAGCCCAGCGCGCGTGAGGTACATGAGCAGGCCATAGGCCTCGGCCAGGTCCGACGCTTGGTGCGGGCCAGGCAGCAGGCCGCACAGGGACGCCACGAGGCCCCCACCGTCGTCGACATGCACGACGCACCAGCCCCCGCGAAGGAGACGCATGTCTCCCTGTACAAGCGACGCGCACGAGACGTCGCCGAAGGCCTCACCTTCTAAGTGGCCGCCCAGCAGGCGCATGAGCCAGCGGCCGATCACCCAGGGCCGAGGGTCGCGCCTCGGCTCCCAGACGCCGAGCGTACGCTGGCCGAGGCACCGCCTGTCGCCTCGCGCCAGGGTGGGCAGCCACGGCCGCCGTCACGGTCGCGGCCCGGTGGGCGTCTCTGGTCGCGAGGTGCGCCGCCGCCGCCACCACCAGTAGGACGAGCCTGGACGAGGACCAGCGGCTTCTTGCAGTGGCAGCACCAGGTCAACCACTCCTCGTTCTTGCGGCAGCCGCAGTGCTGGCACGCCAAGGGGCGAGGTGCGCCCCCGCGCCCCGCCCGCGCCCCTGGTGCTGCATGCATCGGTGGCGCGCTGCCGTGATGCACGGCGAGACGCGCGACGTCGCGCTGATGTTGGAGTCGCCCCCGCGCCTGCGAACGCAGTCGGCGCAGGCGACGGTGCCACGTTGGCGACCTCGACCGCCCCCTGCGGTCGGAGTCCGCCGTCGGTCGCGCCCGCCCCTCAGGCGGCGCTGGGGGCTATCGCGCGCGGGCCCCCGTGCCCGCCGTGGGGCAAAATGGCGATGGCCCGCCGCGAGCCACCTAGGAGGAGGAGGAGGAGGAGGAGGAGGAGGAGGAGGAGGAGGAGGAGGAGGAAGAGGAGGAGGGGGGGTCATCGATCTAGAATTAGGTCGGGCATGTAATCCTACAGGCGGATTTTGGACGTAAAATCACCATATATGTATATATATATATATATATATATATATGTATAAATACATTAATATAGAAAAGATAAAAGAAGAAAAAAAAAACAAAAAACTGGTCACAAAAATAGTCAAGCATCGTCCCCACACAATTTGTCTGAACGTTTTTTTGAATATTCCTCCTGTATAAGGACACGCCCGATTTAAATCTAGAACTGCCGACGCATCGCCGGGGGATCGGCGACAGGCTCCCGATGGCGAACCCACACGTTCTTGGGCGGGGCGGGGCTGTCGGGCCCTTCCCATCGGCAATACCGTCCCCTCTCGCGTTGCCCCTGGCTTTCGTGCCATAACTCGGCTCTCTGGCGACCGTTCGGCGGCACGATCCGAATAAGTGTGATAACAAACTGTGATAAAAACTCCGAACAAGTGTTTTTGTATCAAACTTGTGTTTTACCACAGCTTATCTTATCACACTTGTTTTGTAGTACCCCCAGAACGCCCTGCGACCGTTCGGCACGATCCTGGCACCCCCGGAACGCCCGTGGCGAGGCGAATTCGCTGGGAGGCATCCCGAGGCAGGAAAACCGCCGAGCACCGACTAGAATGTCCGAAAACCTCGAAGCTCGAACCTTTGAACATCAATCCAGCGTTGCCCCTGGCTCTGGCCGATGTGTCGCGCGAGCACGGCGCCCATTCGACGGACTGAAACCTGGCCGCCGCGATCCTCCGTGAGACGAAGCCAGGACGAGGATAAATTCGGACAAGGATACATCGAGACTCTCTGAGATCCGGCGCCTCTGGAGGATGTCTCGGGCGCCGCGGCCTTCTCAGAGCGTTCCAGAACGCTCTGGAGCGGAGTTCTCCTCGTCCTTAATGCTGGTCGACGCGCGAACGGCGGCACACGGGGTCCGACTTTTGTGCTTGCAGCCGCCAGTGTCGGCGCGAATATGGATATGTTGAGGTCCTGGGGCGCCGCCACGTCGCGGGAGAAACTTGCGTTTGATTTCGACGGGGTCTGATCAAAGCTCCTCCTCCTCCTCCTCCTCCCCCTCCCCTCCCCTCCCCCCTTCCTCCTCCTCCTCCTCCTCCTCGCCCCTCCTCCCCCTCCTCCTCCTCCTCCTCCTCCTCGTCTCCTCCTCCTCTCCTCCTCCTCCTCCTCTCCTCCTCCTCCTCCTCCTCCTCTCCCTCCTCCTGCCCCCTCCTCCTCCCCCTCCTCCTCTCGTCATCCTCCTGCTCCTCCTCGCCCTCCCTCCTTCTCCTCCTCGCCCTCCCCTCCTCCTCCTCGCCG